TTAAAAGGTCCTTTAAAAAGTTTCATGCCAGACTGTGTTGCATTGCAGGAAGACCACGAATTCCAACTAGTGCCAGTTCTATACACAATGCAACATAAAGTAGGTGAAAAAATACATCAGGAAATCTTCACAAGTCAATACCTCAGGCATATCCAACGAAATGAAAATGAAAACACAAGGGGGAGAAAATAGAGGAGCAATTATATTGCCAACTTCTCCACCACTTTTTTCCAGTCCATATATGTGTATTAGAGTATGCCTGCCAGTTAATTTGTTGAATGTGCACTTCAATTGACAGACATTAAATGGCTTCCTATTTCAAATAGAAGGCACCAAAATCATGGAACATCATGTCTAATTAACCTTTTTACTTCATTTGTTGAATATCTATCCCCCAAAGTTACTGCCTTGGTTGCTAAAACAAGCATGGGATGCACCATCAGAAGCTTTTGGATCTCCTGGACTACAGCTTCTGACACCCTTTGAAGAGACAGGCTTTTTCTGCACGAGATTATATATAACCATAAAAACATTCACGCTAGTGAGTCATCAAATCAGAAGACAGGCTGTAGAAGAATGAATAGAAATATTAACTATAATGCAAGTACTAATATTTTAAAGTGTCCTAAAGGGGGTGAATGGAACCAATGAAATTTTTGCTTTAGCTCCTGGTTCAAATTCCTGAATCTTCTGCAAATTATCAGCAACTGACTCTTGCCCTCTAAACATATTGAATGTGGAGTTGGATCCCACAAGGTAACCCACTTATAGCATTTCATGGGAACCAATAAAAATGAAGCATTCCCCCTATAAGGTAAAGAATTGAGCNATCCACCAGGTAACAAAGCATGTATCCAATATTGAATAATGAGAACCATCAAAATTGGTTTATATACTTGAAGGGTCACCCCACCCTTTGACAATTGGTTTTGGCCTGGATGCTATGACATGGTATCAGACCTGGTCATGAGTGGAAATGGACCAAGTCTATTGTCCATATGAATTTTCTGGTATGCATACTTGTTTGTTTGTTTGTCTGTTTGTTGATCCCACGTGCAAGTCTGGGTCCCATGTGAGGGATAGTGTTAAAAGAGCTTGTAACCTACATCAAATAATTAGGACCAGCAAGGTTGGTTATATACTTGAGGGGCCACTCCACCCATTGCTAATTGGTTTTAGGTTGGATGCCTAACATCGCCATCTCTAACGTCTCCACCCCTAACATCGTCATCCATGTATGACACCTCCCTCCTACAAAACCATACATGTACCCCAGTACATCCATGTAGCACTAGTCATTTCAAAGAGAAACAACAATAGGTGCCAACCATACATCAAAGGAATTACAAATTATCTTTCTCTTCCTTTTTTTTCCAAACTCAAAAAAATATAGTTATAAAATGTTTTTCGAAATCACACATCCCATGATAAAAGTTTCAAATACAAATTCACAAACAAAACATCCTAGAATTTAAAAGGTCCTTTAAAAAGTTTCATACCAGACTGTGTTGCATTGCAGGAAGACCACGAATTCCAACTAGTGCCAGTTCTATACNCAAACAAAACATCCTAGAATTTAAAAGGTCCTTTAAAAAGTTTCATGCCAGACTGTGTTGCATTGCAGGAAGACCACGAATTCCAACTAGTGCCAGTTCTATACACAATGCAACATAAAGTAGGTGAAAAAATACATCAGGAAATCTTCACTAGTCAATACCTCAGGCATATCCAACGAAATGAAAATGAAAACACAAGGGGGAGAAAATAGAGGAGCAATTATATTGCCAACTTCTCCACCACTTTTTTCCAGTCCATATATGTGTATTAGAGTATGCCTGCCAGTTAATTTGTTGAATGTGCACTTCAATTGACAGACATTAAATGGCTTCCTATTTCAAATAGAAGGCACCAAAATCATGGAACATCATGTCTAATTAACCTTTTTACTTCATTTGTTGAATATCTATCCCCCAAAGTTACTGCCTTGGTTGCTAAAACAAGCATGGGATGCACCATCAGAAGCTTTTGGATCTCCTGGACTACAGCTTCTGACACCCTTTGAAGAGACAGGCTTTTTCTGCACGAGATTATATATAACCATAAAAACATTCACGCTAGTGAGTCCTCAAATCAGAAGACAGGCTGTAGAAGAATGAATAGAAATATTAACTATAATGTAAGTACTAATATTTTAAAGTGTCCTAAAGGGGGTGAATGGAACCAATGAAATTTTCGCTTTAGCTCCTGGTTCAAATTCCTGAATCTTCTGCAAATTATCAGCAACTGACTCTTGCCCTCTAAACATATTGAATGTGGAGTTGGATCCCACAAGGTAACCCACTTATAGCATTTCATGGGAACCAATAAAAATGAAGCATTCCCCCTATAAGGTAAAGAATTGAGCCCAGTAAAATACAGCAAGTACCTGGAGATGCTAGAGAGTTTAGCGTTTAGCTTATTATTATTATTGATATTAGGGATAGTTTAGTTTTCTCATTATTTTACGTTGCCCTACTGTATAAGGGCTTGCATTGTGTATCTAATATTATCACTTTGACAGATTAATGTAGCCATAACATGTTTTCTTCATTTTCTCTCTTTTCTCTTCTTTGTTTGATCAATATTATCATGATATCAGAGCATTTACAATCCTAAACACAAAAATCAGTAAAGTAATATTCATCAGAGGAAGAAATTGAAGAGTTAGGGCTGACATCATCGACTAGAATGTTGATGTCATTTATCTGAATACTGATATCAGCAACCAAAAATCACTAGAGACACCCACCTACTCGATTTTTCATGGTAACATCATGGTACCACTGGTTTTCTGGTTTGAGTTCAGATTGTTGAATTTTTTATTNTGTACTAATAAGACATACCAAACTTTAAAAAATGAGTAGAGGTTGGTGCAATTCTTGGTGGCACTCAAAGATGATTTTGAGGGGCTTCGTCGTTCGATTCTCCATCGTCATCCATTACCATCAATTGATGCAGTGATTCATAAGCTTCTAGCTGAAGATGTTCGTCTCAAGACTTTTTTATAGAAAGGGTCTTCTTTCATTACCTAATCAAACTATATTGGTCGTACTCCCAAAGGTGCCTAGTTCACAAAGTAAGCACTAAGGTCGAGCAGCACCATATGAGCGTAGCTCCTGTTAAGAGAAGGGGCACTAGAAGACCCAGTGTCCAAAATTAGTAATTAAGAGTGCTAAGGGATCATTGAATGAGTTTTTCAAGTCTAAAGACCTCCATACTGCAACAGTTGCACCATTAGTGGATGAGTCACCCTTATCAACTTCTAGCGAGAATATGATTGTTGATCAATTACAACTACTTTCTCTTCATCAGCCTAGTGCTCTCACAATCTCACCATCAATAGGTTCATTCACTTCTACCTTGCACCACCAAGGTCTTTGACTCAGATGCAACGCATCATATGACTAGTGATTCTTCTTTATTTGTGTCTATTATTTTCCCACCATTTGTATCTGCACTTGCACCCAATGACACTCAAATGTCTTTGGCAAGTGTTAGGACAATTATTTCTTCTCATCTTAGAATTCGTGATGTGTATTAGATTCCTCAACTCACTTTGAATTTAATCTCAATCAATCAATTATTTGTTTCAAGATTTTTGGTTCATTTTTACTCTTCTGGTTGTGTTGTACAAATCCACGGTCCAAGAAGCTAATTGAGACAGATCGTAGAAAATGAGGGTTGTATGTGTTGTAGGAGCTCCATGTTCCAAAAGTTGTTGCCTCTATTATTGATTTATCTTCTTTTCCTTTGAATCCACATTCTTCAAGTTTTTATTTGTAACATTCTTGCTATAGTCATATTTCTCATTCTCGTTTGAAATTTTTAATTTCTACTGGTAGTTTGGACAGTTTAGAATCAGGATATCTCTGATTATAGTGAATACAAGAAAAATTTATTGTATTATCTTTCAATAAAAGAATTACTCATTCTCTAGCACCGTTTGATCTTATTCATTTTGACATATGGGGATCAACTCTTATTCCTACACAAGGAGGGTCCATATATGATGTTTCCTTTATTGATGATTAGACCAAGTACTGTTGGGTATACTTGATGACACATTGATCTAAATTCTTTTCCATCTTCACTACTTTTTGTACCATGATACTCTCAATATTTCGCTATCATTAAATATTTTCGTTGTGATCACAGTGGTGAATACACTCTTATTTCTTTTCGTGACTCATTAAAAGTTGATGGTACATTTTATCAATCATCTTGCATTGACACACCTAAGCAAAATGGTATTTCCAAACACAAGCACGGTCATATTCCAGAGACAACCTGTTTCCTTCTATTATCAGCCCATGTTTCAGCTCTTTTTTGGAGAAACGGTTCTTACAACTGTTCATTTGATCAGCTGCATTCCTATTGTTCTTACCTCTAGAGTCTCCCTATTTGAAAATTTGTGGTAAGCCACCTAACTAATTTTTCTTACAAGTGTTTGGTTGTACTTGCTTTGTTTTGCTCCCTAGTGTTTTTCATACCAAACTTTCTACTCTATTAGCTTTATGTGTCTTTCTTGATTATAGTGAGGGTCAAAAAGGGTATAGTTGATATGACCCTATTACCCATAAACTTTGTCTCTCGCTATGTTGTCTTTATAGAGCATATCCCCTTCTTTTCAATTCCATCCAATTTTTCCTCACGGAATAACTCTGATCTGCTATACATTGATCATTTTCCAACTGATGTTTCTTGTTAAAAATAATAGGGTAGTATGTGTAAATTGTTAACCGTAAGAGGGTGTATGTGTAACTCTTATTATTGTAGGTTAACTATAAATATAAGCGATGTATGAGAGCTAGATTAAGTTTTTAACCTCTCTCTGTTTCTCTCTAAAACTGAGTTAATCTTCTAAACTTAACATGGTATCAGAGTCATTAAGATCATAAACATATATGTATGTTATGAATAAATTTTGGGTAGTACTGCCATCGCTGTTCGTTGAACTAATCATGGTGGTGGGGATACTGTTGTCGTGGTGGTGGAAGTTGACTTGGTGCTGCTGTGACTGGTTGAATGCCTTGCTTTGTGGTTGTGTTGTGAAGGTTGAGGTGGTGGCAATCGACGTTGGTACAGTCTACTGGGTGGCACCTTACTTCGTGGTGGTGCTGTACCTGGTGTGTGCCTTGTGGTTGGGCAGTTGGCGCTGGTATAGCCGACCTTGGTGCAAAAATTAGGGTTTTTGTTGAAACCCTAACTCAATGAAGAAGAAGAAGACCAAGTGGGTTTCAAGTTTCGGGTAATAGGTTTCGGGTGCAGTACCTATCCTTAAGCCCAGGAGATCTGGATCCAGACCCGAATCTAGACCCAGACCTGAATCTAGATCCAGACCCAGATCCTAGACCAAGGAGACTTCGTTCGGATCAAGTCAAGTTCAAACCAGACTGGTCCAAGTCTGGCTCAGACCCGGTTCAACCCTGGTTTGATCCAGGCTCAGCCGGTTCAGGTAATTTCACTCCGGTTCAGACCGGTTCTTCAGTTTTTAGCTTCGATTTAATGGTCCAACTCAGTTGCTGCTCCAGTTCATTGGCTCAGTGTGGTTCTACAGTCCGGTTCAGCAGTCCAAAAGACTTCTACAGTCTGGTTCACCTATTTTTTACACCAGTTCAGCCCGGTTCAGTAAGTTTCTACTCCGGTTCTTCAGTCCAGCAATCCTTTTTCCTCTGGTTTAGCATTCAAGCAGTCCGGTTCATTTCTTGTTTGCTATTTGTTGCACTATTATGGAACCCAAGCAAGATACCAGGTCCCTTACTCCATCTTTGTCTTCTCCGATTCTTATTAATGGTCCCATGACCTCTGTCAAACTCAATGGGACTAATTACACTTTATGGTCTCGATCTGTTCAAGTCTTTCTTCGAAGCAAAGGATTGAAGAAATATTTGGTAAATCCTAAACCTAAGGAAGACACTCCTGGGTATGATCAGTGAGAACAAGAGGATGCTCAAATTATTTCTTTACTATTGAATAGCATTGAGCCTAGTATTAATTCTACTTTACTCTACCTTGATACTGCCAAGGAGATATGGGATCACTTGGTTACTATGTATTCTGGTACGGGCTATTTTACCCAAACTTATGAGGTGTGCAAGAAGTATTTTCGGCTAGAACAGAATAATCTGAGCATTGAGGATTATTACTCTCACGTTCGGGGAGTCTGTGCAGAGATGAAGANATGCCAAGGAGATATGGGATCACTTGGCTACTATGTATTCTGGTACAGGCTATTTTACCCAAACTTATGAGGTGTGCAAGAAGTATTTTCGGCTAGAACAGAATAATCTGAGCATTGAGGATTATTACTCTCACGTTCGGGGAGTCTGTGCAGAGATGAAGACCTACCATCCGTTTACAACTGATGCAACAGTTTGGCAGATGCAACATGAGGACATGANACAAAGGATTGAAGAAATATTTGGTAAATCCTAAACCTAAGGAAGACACTCCTGGGTATGATCAGTGGGAACAAGAGGATGCTCAAATTATTTCTTTACTATTGAATAGCATTGAGCCTAGTATTAATTCTACTTTACTCTACCTTGATACTGCCAAGGAGATATGGGATCACTTGGTTACTATGTATTCTGGTACGGGCTATTTTACCCAAACTTATGAGGTGTGCAAGAAGTATTTTCGGCTAGAACAGAATAATCTGAGCATTGAGGATTATTACTCTCACGTTCGGGGAGTCTGTGCAGAGATGAAGACCTACCATCCGTTTACAACTGATGCAACAGTTTGGCAGATGCAACATGAGGACATGAATGTTGTTAAGTTTTTGGTAGGTTTGAAACCTAAATATGAAGGTATTCGTTCTCAGATTTTGGGTGGTTCTACTCTTCCCTCGCTACTTGATGTTTTCTCTCGTATATAGCGTGCTACTTTGTCTACTTCAAGTATCAATCATGGTATTTCCACTGATCGCTAAGCTCTTGTAGTTCCTAGTAGCTATAGTGATGGTCATCACGGTTGTCGTGGTGGTCGAGGAGGTTCTACGGGTAGTCGTGGGATCGTAGTGGACCATGTTCCTGTGCTCACTATGGCCGTGGAGGGCACACTGTTGATTTTTGTTGGGATTTACATGAAAAACCTTCTGATACTTCGAATCAGGTTTCTTATCAGGATGACACCTCTGTTACGGCTTCCATACCTCGGTCAGCTCCACCAGACACTGGGTTAGTTACTATTACACGAGAAGAGTATGCTCAGTTCCTGTCCCAAAAACAGGTTGTTCCATCTCCCTCCACTGCTACTTTTGTTCAATCAAGTACTGCTTCCACTTGATTATTGTCCTCCACTCACAGTCCTTGGATCATNTGCTACTTTGTCTACTTCAAGTATCAATCATGGTATTTCCATTGATCGCTAAGCTCTTGTAGTTCCTAGTAGCTATAGTGATGGTCATCACGGTGGTCGTGGTGGTCGAGGAGGTTCTACGGGTAGTCGTGGGATCGTAGTGGACCACGTTCCTGTGCTCACTATGGTCGTGGAGGGCACACTGTTGATTTTTGTTGGGATTTACATGAAAAACCTTCTGATACTTCGAATCAGGTTTCTTATCAGGATGACACCTCTGTTACGGCTTCCATACCTCGGTCAGCTCCACCAGACACTGGGTTAGTTACTATTACACGAGAAGAGTATGCTCAGTTCCTGTCCCAACAACAGGCTGTTCCATCTCCCTTCACTGCTACTTTTGTTCAATCAAGTACTGCTTCCACTTGATTATTGTCCTCCACTCACAGTCCTTGGATCATAGACTCTAGCGCCTCTGACCACATGACTGGTGCGTCTGATGTTTTTTTTACTTATCAGTCTGTTACTTTCACACGTAGTGTTACTCTTGCTAATAGTACTTGTTCTAAAGTTTCAGGTCTGAAAACTACTCACTTGAATCTTGATATGTCCCTATCTTCCGTGTTATTTGTTCCTCAATTTCCTTTTAGTTTACTTTCCATTAGCAAGATTACTCATTCTCTCAATTATTTTGTAACATTTTATACCTCTTATTGTGTCTTTCAGGATCTCAAGACGAAGAGAAAGATTGGTACGGGACATGACGTTGGTGGCCTATATTACCTTGACTTTGATTCACCTACCCGGACTCTACAAACCTCGTTGTCTCCTTTTCAATGACAATGTCGTCTGGGACATCCCTTTCTCCAAAATTTGAAGCGCCAAGTTCCCAGTCTTAGTTATGTGTCTTCTTTGTCTTGTGAAACTTGTCACCATATATCATTTCAATCTAGAGTCAATAATCGTGTGTCTAGTCCATTTGAATTAGTCCATTCTGATGTATCGGGTCCAATAAAGAATATTTCATCTAATAAATATCCTTATTTTGTGACATTTGTCGATGGCTATTCTCGTGTGACTTAGTTATTTTTGATGAAAATTCGGTCTTAATTATTCTCTATATTTAAGACTGTTCGTAAGGAAAAAAAAACTCAGTTTAGTTATTTACGTATTTTACGTTCTGATAATGCTCGGGAATATGAATCTGATCCTTTTTTAACTTATCTTAGTAAAACTGGTATTATTCATCAGATTTCTTGTGCTTACACCTCTCTACAAAATAGTGTTACTGAACGCAAAAACCATCATTTTTTGGAAGTCAACCGTGCCCTGTTATTCCAGATGAATATTCTCCGATATTTTTGGAGTGATGTTATTCTTACTACTTGTCATCTTATTAATCGTATGTCATTCTCTGTGTTAAATAGACAAAGTCCATATTCTGTCCTTTTTTCCTGATAAGTCTTTATTTTTCCTGATTCCTAAGATTTTTGGATGTGTCTGTTATGTTCACAATTTGGGTCCTGAGTTTGACAAACTTGACCCTCGAGCTACCAAATGTTTATTTCTTGGTAACTCCCACACACAAAAGGGGTATCATTGCTACAGTCCTTCTTTGCACTGATTCTTTACTAGTGCTGATGTCACGTTTGAAGAATCTTTTCCATACTTTCCAGCACCTTCTCAGCCTTTGGATCTGGATTTTGGATCATCTCTTGTACCACCATCTCTTTCCTCATCTTCAGACATTCCGCTGCTCACTGTGTTACCATCTACTTTACATCTTTGTGTCTACTCTCGCCGTCCTCGCCTATCGACTGAGGTGCCCGTACCGTTTTCCTTGCCACCCTCTGATCCTGGTACATCAAATAATTTAAACTCTTTACCTATTGCTCTTCGCAAAGGTACTCATTCGTGTGTTATTAATCATCCCATTTCTCATTTTGTTTCATATGATGTCTTATCTCCTGTCTTCTCCTGTTTTACTTCTCAATTATTTACTATATCTATTCCTAAGTATTTACAGGATACATTTTCTGATCCAGGTTGGAGGAAAGCTATGGAGGAGGAGATGGATGTTTTACATCATAATGGAACTTGGGATCTTGTTCCTTTACCCCTGGTAAACGGACTGTTGGCTATCATTGGGTGTATACTGTTAAATTTCATCCAGATGGTTCTATGGAGCGTCTCAAAGCCCGACTTGTTACAAAGGACTTTACTCAGACTTATGGTGTTGATTAGGAGGAGACTTTTTCTCCTGTTGCCAAAATTTTCTCTGTTCGTATCTTGATCTCTTTTGCTGCTAATCTTGATTGGCCCTTGTTTCAATTAGACATCAAGAATGNTCTCAAAGCCCGACTTGTTGCAAAGGACTTTACTCAGACTTATGGTGTTGATTAGGAGGAGACTTTTTCTCCTGTTGTCAAAATTTTCTCTGTTCGTATCTTGATCTCTTTTGCTGCTAATCTTGATTGGCCCTTGTTTCAATTAGACATCAAGAATGCCTTCCTACATGGTGCCTTGGTTGAAGAGGTATACATAGAGCAGCCACTTGGATTTACTCCTCAGGAGGAATATGGTAAGAGTGTATGTCGGTTAAAGAAATCTTTGTATAGTTTAAAGTTGTCACCGAGGGTATAGTTTGGTAAGTTTTCAAATACAGTTTTAGAGTTTGGTCTTCTTCGATGTCAAACAGATCATTTTGTGTTTCATAGACAGACAGATGCTAGATAAATCCTATTGGTGGTCTATGTAGATGATATTGTGATTACTGGAAATGATTCTGAGGGGATTGTCAAGTTAAAAATATTCTTACTGGATCGATTTCATACTAAAGATTTGAGAAAACTCAGATATTTTTTGGGTATTGAGGTGGCTCGATCTAAACAAGGTATTTGTTTATCCCAGAGGAAATATGTACTTGACATGCTTGAGGAAGCAGGTTTGCTGGATGGTAGACCGATTGATGTTCCTATGGTTCTGAATCAAAAATTATTGATAGATGATAGTGCATTGTTTGAGAATCCGGGTCAGTATCACAAATTGGTTGGGAAGCTTAATTATCTTACTATTACTCGACCGGATATTTCTTATGCAATCAGTATAGTAAGTCAATTCATGAGATGTCCTAGAGTACCACATTGGGAGGTAGTTACTCATATTCTGCGATATCTCAAACGAGCTCTTGGACTTGGACTGTTATATCGAGCTAATACACATCTTAGAGTGGAAAGTTTCTTAGATGCTGATTGGGCTGACTCTCCTTCTGATCAGAGATCAACCACTGGCTATTGTACTTCCTTAGGAGGTAATGTCGTCTCATGGAAAAGTCAATAATCAAGAATTGTTCAATGCACTTATAATCAATATATTTTGATATATTGACCTAGTGTGTTTGAACCGATTAAACAATCAATCATACAAATACGAAAGCACACAACTTTTACATGGAAACCCTGTATGAAAAACCACGAGAACAAGTCTAGCCTTAAGCCTCC